TTATTAAGTTCAGAATCCACAGCATAAAATTAAGATCCTAAATGCTTTCATAAGGGAAAACGCAGACAACCTGAGGGAGGAAGGGGGGATTCAGCATTACAGTTTATCAGTCATACTGCATGTTGAAAGATAACGGAACAATATCTTCAAAGCACTGATGCTGAATTGTTTTTTGTTTGTTTCTTTATTTGTTTTTGACACGGAGTCTTGTTCTGTCACCCAGGCTGGAGTGCAGTGGTGCGATCTCAGCTCACTATAACCTCAGCCTCCCCGGGTACAAGCGATTCTCCTGCCTCAGCCTCCAGAGTAGCTGGGACTACAAGCCCAGGCCACCATGCCTGGCTAATTTTTGTATTTTCAGTAGAGATGGGATTTTGCCATGTTGGCCAGGCTGGTCTTGAACTCGTAACCTCAGATGATCCACCCACCTCAGCCTACCAAAGTGCTGGGATTACAGGCATGAGCCACTGCACCTGACCTATTGCTTTTCATTGTAAACCTTGTTATAATTGTATGGTTATTTTTTCATATATATGTCTTTGATATAAAAATCTGTTTAATATTACTACAGGTATATTGTTCTGCCACTGAAGCTCCATATTATTGTCAAATAAAACTGTAAATCCAGGAAATTTTTAAAATAAAAGTTTACCTGAAGCAACCAAATGGCACCTTTAAACAATGGAACTGTGCTCCACCTGACTCCGACCAGGCAGAATTCACCAAAAGATAGTGAAAGTTTTCTTAGGAAAAAAAAGAGCAATACTCAATTCTTTTCTTTGGAAACTGATTCTCAAAGGAATCATAATTTACCATGTACTTTACTTGGTAAAAGACGAATCTGGAAAAAATTTGTTATCAAAGCAAATTGTCTCCATCTTTGATACACTGGTTTTATAAGTCACCAAAGCTCTGAAAAACATACTTCATAATTTTTTGGGCTTCCCATTAACTCAGTGGAGAAATATAATGCAATAAAAGTATAATATCATCATTTATGAATATCTGCTGAGCTCTTGTGTGTAAGATGCTGCAAGAAGTGCTGTATTAATGTAAAAAATTGTTTTTAAAAACCTCCAGTGTTAAAATATATACAGGCTTGAAATGGAATAAATCTTCTATAACCTCCCTGGGTCTCACTGTCTTTATCTTAAAATCAGAAGGGGTAGGGTTAGAGTTGGATTAGGTGATCTTGAAGCCATTTCTAGTTCTTCAACCATATCCTCGCTCCTCCATCTTAATAAAAGACTAGTTGGAACATGTGCTTTAGACTCTCAGTTCACCTGGATAGCTCGTTACATGTTTAATTAATAATTTTGGCAGGTGAATCTGTGCGGAAGTCTTGGGCTGGATGTGTGTGTTTGCCCAGCTCTCTGAATCCCCTTTTGTGAAGGCTGTGGGGCTACCACAGAGAGGCTTGTTTGCTGTCTGCTCCTAGAGCAGCTGCCGCTTTCTTCCTTTATCCTTCATCAAGCAAAAGAAAATGCAGTGGTTTGTGCGTGCTTTAGATGAGGAGAATGCACTCCAGACAGGTTATTCTCTGGGTTAAAGTGGATGGGGTGAGCACAGAGGAGCTCGGTTCAATGGGAAGAGAGGTCGTGGCAGCATCTGCCCTCTTATTTCAACAGTTTCAGTCTTGAATATAGAATGTGTTCAGAGAGAGGCGAGCGAAGAAGTTAAAAAATGCACTACTGCTTAGTTTCTCAGCCAGTGTGGGGAGTGGAGGTGGAGAGTGGGAGGGCAGAAAGGGACATACAGCTAGTTTTCTCTTTCTATTATTAAATCCCTTCTCATTTCATGATCTCCACTTCAGAGATTCTTATAGCAGTCTCTTTTGTGTAACTGCTAACTGACTAAAGAACACTATTTCATACTTATATGCAGGAAATGGCAAAATTACAAATATTTTCATCCTCTGATATTAATGATCAAACTGCTTTCCATAGGCACTGGCCTCACACAGTCCTACAGGACCAAATATTTTAAATCAAAACCACTAAGAACGTAACAGCAAACACAGAACCATAAATATAGCAAAAGAGTAAACAAAAATGGAAAAATATGAGAAGATAACCAATATCACCACTTCATGAGGGAAAGGGAAAAAAGCCACAAGAAAATAAGTAATTTTACAAGAGAGGGAAAAATAAAAGAAAGAAGAGAAACAGGTGCGGAGCGAAGGCAAAAGGAAGAGAGGAGAATGCACAGTAGACAGCAATAGACTGCAAAAAGACATGAATATTATTGTGCATTCCTATGCTTTTGTGTGTGACTTGCCTAGTCTGCTGGCTTTTATTCTATATACCTATGTGACTGGTTGTGATAAAAATGGGTATCTTCCTTAGAAAGTCCAGCAAATAGTGTCAGGCACAGTGGCTCATGCCTGTAATCCCAGCACTTTGGAAGGCTAAGGTGGCAGCATCGCTTGAGCCCAGGAGTTTGAGACTAGCCTAGGCAACACAGTGAGACCCAGTCTCTACAAAAAATAGAAAAATTAGCCGGATGTGGTGATGTGTGCCTGTAGTTCCAGCTACTCAGGAGGCTGAGGCAGGAGGATCACTTGACCACGGGAGGTTGAGACTGCAGTGAGCCAGGATCATGCCACCACACTGTCTCACATATGGCATTACTTTTCCTTGCAAAACATGAAATATTTACACATTTTCTCTAACAGTACCCTTAGATTACTCAGTAATATATTCATGATTGTTTCAAATGATTGGTATAGGAAACATGACATTCTGCCAGCAAGTTAGTTGAGAGTGCCCTAGAAACTGTCTGCCTGAACCTATAATCCTTCAAACATAGACCCTAACTTTAGAGGGGCCCAATCAGCTACTAAGACAGATCTTTGCTGTACATGCAGTTTATGTTTATGCAGGACCCCTAGTTCCTGAAAAGAATGTTCATTTGACTTAAAATATGTAAACAAGTAGCATACCAACATATTAAAATTAGAGAAGCTAGAGGACAAGACTGGAGATTCTTCTCCAACCACAGAGTTGCTAAGAATTGATCGTGAAATCAAATCAAAAGGCTAACTTTACGGATTCAGATGGCAAAATGAAGAGGCAGGGTCAGGAAGGGAGAATGAGGCACCTGGGTCTAGATGACAACTGCGCTGAAGCTGTGTGGTCCCAGGGTACCAGTTTCCCCCAGCAGTCACATTATATCAGTTAATCTTACAATGTGTTCATATAAAACAGCTTTTTACTACAGCTATGTAAGCACCTTGGCCCCTATTTCACGGTCTGTGTTTTCTTTCTCTTTCCTTCTGTCTTTCCCTCCTTCCCTCCTTCCTTTCTTCCTTCCTTCCTTCCCTCCTTTCTTTTTTTTTTTTTTTTTGACAGAGTCTCGCTCTGTCACCCAGGCTGGAGTGCAGTGGCGTGATCTCGGCCCACTGCAACCTCCGCCTCCCGGGTTTAAGCAATTCTCCCTGCCTCAGTCTTCCGAATAGCTGGATTACAGGTGCCCGCCCCACGCCTGGCTAATTTTTGCATCTTTAGTAGAGATGGGGTTTTGCCGTATTGACCAGGCTGATCTTGAACTCCTGACCTCAGGTGATCAGCCCACCTTGGCCTCCCAAAGTGCTGGGATGACAGCCTGTGTTTTCAAATATATTATAGTAATCCTAATATATATATAAATATATAAATATATATATAAATATAAATAAATCTAAACTTGTGAGACAAATTACAAGATGATGTTATTTACTGTAAGACAAACGTTTTAAAAAAATTATTTACTTCATGTCACATAATCCCTTAGAGCATTTAAAAATGCAAATATTCAATTAAAAATTCAATACATACATTACAGAACCTGCATAATTTAAGTTTTATTACAAACTATATACAACTTTAGAAAAACTCATGGTATAAGTCTATAATATCATTAAGTTCAAGAAGGAGGAAGGAAAAATGGGCTTTTCAAAAATATGCATATCTGAATTTATTTGATTTATACATTTTATAAATAAAAAGATTTTAGAAGAAGTGAGTAAGACATGGTCTTTTGAAAATCAAGGTAAAGACCTATAAAATAATAATCACAATTAATAAAAATATTTTAACATTCAAGAATGAATTTTTGGACATAAACTGAAGGTATTACGTTATCCTTTATTTCTTGAACCCTGGTTTTGAAAATTTTTTTTTTTGAGACAGAGTCTTGCTCTGTCGCCCAGGCTACAGTACAGTGGCACAATCAGCTCACTGCAGCCTCAAACTCATGGGCTCGAGCGTGCCTCCTGCCTCAGCCTCCCAAGTAGCTGGGATTATATGCATGTGCCACCACATCTAGCTAGTTTTTAAATTTTTTGTAGAGATGGGGTCTCACTGTATTGCCCAGCTGGATCTCCAACTCCTGGGCTCAAGCTATCCTCCTGCCTTGGCTTCCCAAAGTGTTGGAATTACAGGTGTGAGCCACTGCATCCGGCCGAACTATTCGATTTTTTATTCAAGAATCCCAAGTACATAATCTGACTAATGGTGAGAATTCAAATCAGTGAAGTGCCATAATATAATTAACCTTCATTTCACAGATAGGAGCATGGACAGAAATGGAGTAGAGAAGTGACTCAGTAGTGGTTACTCATCTAAATAAAAGCACTCTAATGCTCAAGATCACAGAATGTTAAAATTGCAAGGGATCCTAGATATCAGTGATCCAGCCCTTTACCTTGTTGGTCACTATGTATATATCCACCCCCTCCCCGCCTTTTTTTTTTTTTTGAGAGAGTCTTCCTCTGTGGCCCAGGCTGGAGTGCAGTGGCGGGATCTCGGCTCACTGCAAACTCTGCCTCCCAGGTTCAAGTGATTCTCCCGCCTTAGCCTCTGAGTAGCTGGGATTACAGGTGTGCGCCACCATGCCTGGCTAATTTTTGTATTTTTAGTAGACACAGGTTTCACCATGTTGCCCAAGCTGGTCTCCAACTCCTGGCCTCAAGTGATCTGCCTGCCTCTGCCTCCCAAAGTGCTGGGATTACAGGCATGAGCCACCAAACCTGGCCTATATCCTATAAATTGATGGCTTTGGCAGACATGTGCTGGCAGCTTTTAACCCTTCTACTGTGAGAAGGATGTGTAGGAGAGAAGCCAGATTCAGGGTCAGTGGATGAGCTATCACCTGTGCAAGTTCATATTTGCTTCATTTCTAGCTCATCCCAGATATATACATTCCATGCTGAACTTATTGAGGATTTCCTCACTGGATTCCACTATTGCTGGTGCCACCTGGGTCCTCATAGTATTTCCTTTTCCTTCTAGTTGTAGGGGAATAAAGCATTCCTTTATTTTCCAAGGGTTGGCTGAGTTAAATCACATGAACATGTGTTCTATTTCAAATGTGTTTGAAACTAGGCTTGATGCCTTAAGGAATTTTGCTAGGGACATCTAGATTTCTTTTTTCTGCACACTTCTTAAGACTCTGCGGCCAGCTAACTCTCAGGCTCCTTTGCTGCACTCAGATTGCTGGCTTCAGTTATACAGAGGAAAGACTTGCCACATTCAAAAATGCTTTCCCTGGAATTGAAATGAGTTTGCGAAAGGTAGGGCTTGAAGTAACCCATAGGATTACATTTTATTCTCAGTCTTGTACATCTTATTTACCTTGTTGGAAAGCATTATTTCTCTTTATCTTTCAAGGTGACCCAAAAGCATCCAAAACCAGGTTTCCAAGAATTATAGCCTGTGTCCTCTAATGAAATGCCAACATTCACTCTCTTTAAAAGTAAAAATATCAAGATTATGTAGTCATTAAAAAGAATAAGTTTGAACTAAGTGTTCTAAGATTTGATGTCTATGATGAGTGGAATGGAAAAAGCAAGTCATAACAGTAAGTATATGATTCTATTTAAAATACTTACATTTGCCTGTGTGTAAAAGGCAAAGATCTGGATTGAGCACACGGTGGTTAACTGGGGAGTGGGACTGTGGTGTGTACAGAGGGCGAGGAAGGGGCTTGCACTTGTTCCTTAACTCATTTCTGAATTGTTCTGAATTGTCTAGATTATTCACTGAGTTAGTAGTGCTTAAAAATTAATTAGAAGACATCACACACATTCACCGAGAATCCTTATTAATCTTTACTGCATTTAAAGTCTGGAAACGGTTACATTCTCAGTTTGACTGGTTTCATGCAGTGTTCAATTGCTTCACCTGACATTCCTCGGGTATCAGGTTCTGTGCCAGGCACGGAGGCTACTAAGATGAATAACACCTGGTCCATGACAGGATGGCATCTACCCCAGAACACAGGTAAGAGAGACAGTGAATTTGGTAAAAATGGGCACCGTCATCAGTAGGCATACATCAGCTCCCTCATTTGATTCACAATTGGCCTTCTGCAGGCTTCATCTCTTGGCAATGCAATTGGCAGGCGTCATCCTTTTATACTTAAACTCCAAATTTAGGATTAAGACTCCAGTTATTACTGCCAAGTACAGAAGGCGTCCTTGGGGAAAGAGAAGTCTCCTGAGCATACCCACTGGGGTACCTAGAATAGATTTTGCAGCGACACACAGATCCTGTGTTGTCTGGAGTCTCTGCTGAGTAATGTAGATTCTGGGACAGCAAAAGGGAAGCTGGTGATTTTGAACCAAATTTTACCTTTCAACTGAATCCAGGGGAATAATTTGCAACAGAGTGGCAGATGATACAAAGTGCTATGTTGAACACTAGATTGTGCTTTATTTTTTCCGCCCAACTTCACGTTTCCATGCACCACAATGTTGATGCTATAAATATTGGATGCCACGCTTACCTGACAGGCTTCTTCCATCCCACCTGGGCGCGGGGGCTCAGAGCGAGCGCGAGAGCCGCGGCTGGAGCCCGCCTCTCGCGGCTGGAGAGGACTCAGCCGGCCGCGGGTTCTGCTGCTTGCCCGGGTGCCCTAGTCGCTTCCCCGCCAGGGCTCCCGCAGTCAGCCCCACGCGCGCACGCGCGCTCACCTCGGGCGGCCTCGACGCCTCAGGGCTTCGGCAGAGATGCGACTGGCCGGCTCCAGCTGGCAGGGCGGTGAGCGAGTGCTCGCGGCCACGTGACCGACGCCAACATGGCGGCGCCCAGCGGCGTCCACCTGCTCGTCCGCAGAGGTAAGCGCGTGGAGGACAATCCTGTGAGGGTTCACACGGTTGTTCACTCGGTACGCACCCGGGTCCAAAGGGATGCACACCCGCGCTGAGACTTCTCGACGCACACGATTGTACTTTCAGTCTTTACAGACACACACAGACACACACGATGACACATTCACACACCCCAGGAACACACGCAAAAATTTGTTCACTGATCACCCGCCTAGACCACGTCACCACGTGGCATCTATTCGCAATTACTCCTTGAGATTTGCGGGCCATCGTCTGAAGTTTTTTTTCCCAACTTCGGTTGTATCATTAGTGTAACAAACACTTATTCTGTATGCCGAACGAAGAAACCTATGGTAATTCTGAAATGCATCTGGACACCCGATTTCCTTCCCTAGAGCTTATGTAGACATGCCTTTTGGGGACTTGCAAAATGTGATTGTTTTCTTCCAGTGACTTAAAGTTAAGAAGATAAGAAAAGATGTCTGGGTAGTTCTAAGTAGGTTTTATCCTGTGTGAGTGTTGAGATTTTAGTAAATATACAAATGCCTTTGCAGCAGAATTGGGGAAATCTTTGTTGGATTTGAACTAGGTTCTGAATCTTTGTTGGAAAGAACTGGAAAGTTTTTTCAAGGACGGAGAAAGAGGAAAACTCATATTTTGAGGAGCTACTTAAGTGTCAGGCATGTAGAAACAGTTTTGTGAGGTAAATATTATTTTCATAGTAATAGCTACTGTTTATTAAGTGCCTTTTAAGTACACGATACTGTGTTAAGCGCCTTACATATGCTTACTTCCTTTTAAAACTCAATGAGTGAGACCCTGGGAGGTCGAGAGGCTGCAGTGAACGGTGATCTTACCACTGCACTGCAGACTTGGCAACAGAGCCAGACCCTGTCTCAAAAACAAAAACAAAAACCCTGTGAGTTAGGAATTATTTTCTCTTTGCAGAAGGGAAAAGTGAGGCTAGAGAGGTTAAGTAACATGACTAAGGTCACACGAATGGTAAGAGGCAGAATGTTCATTTGAACATGATTCTAATTTTTTTTTTTTTTTAAACTCATTTCTCTGTACTGCATGACATGGTCACTCCATAGAAGTCTGTGTGTAAAGTTCAGCAGAGACAGTACAGGATGAGTGTGTGCAAGAAGTGAAGAGAGCCTGGGCACGGTGGCTCACGCCTGTAATCCCGGCCGAGGCGGGTGGATCACTTGAGGTCAGGAGTTCAAGACCAGCCTGACCAACATGGTGAAACCCCATCTCTACTAGTATACAAAATTAGCTGCGCATGGTGGCGCATGCCTGTAATCCCAGCTACTTGGGAGACTGAGATAGGAGAATCGCTTTAACCCAGGACGTGGAGGTTGCAGTGATCCGAGATCGCATCACTGCACTCCAGCCTGGGCAATAGCGAGACTGTCTCAGAAAAAAATAAAATAAAATAAAAATAATAAAAAATAAGAAGTGAAGAGGAAGATATTTTTAGAGAGGAAGAAGGTTGGTAATGGAATAGACTTCAGTGTTAGTGGAGATGAGAAAGGAGCCACAGGAATATTGGAGGGAGAGATGTGTATGGGAAAGGTGATGTAGTGAGCATTTTGGACTGGTTGCATGGAGGAATGGAGATGAGCATGAGAGTGTAGCCTTGTGAAAAGACAGTCAATTTATATCTCTTAAGATCTGGGCTCCAGGCCTGGCAAGGTGGCTAATGTCTGTAATATTACCCAGCACTTTGAGAGGCCAAGGTGGGCAGATGACTTGAGGCCAGGAGTTCAAGACCAGCCTGGCCAACATGGTGAAACCCTGTCTCTACTAAAAATACAAAAATTAGCTGGACTTGGTGGCGCATGCTCATAATCCCAGCTACTTGGGAGGTGGAGGTGGGAGGATCACTTGAACCCAGGAGGCGGAAGTTGTAAGCCGGAAAAAAAAAAATCTGGGTTCCAGTCCAGACTTTCTTTACTAATTAAGTTATTTTTCTGTTTCTTCTTTTCACAAGAAATCATGGCCTCAGACTTCATTTTTGTGTGCTTCTGGTAATGGTGAGAAGGATCTGAGTAGATAGTCAATGTAGAGGAGGAGCCAAAAAACAACACAAAAAAAAACCTGAAAACATACATAGGTGTATATATATACACCTATGCATGTATAAACATATTCTTGTATGTACGTATGTATGTATTAGGTTGGTACAAAAGTAATTGCAGTTTTAGAATCACTTAATGACAAGAACTGCAATTACTTTGCACCAGCTTTATATATAACATCTCTTTGCAGATTACAGAAATAGCATTAATCTTTTCTTTCTTTTTGATCACTTGTGATTTTGACAAATGGTGGTTTAGACAATCTTGAGAAAAGATATATGGAAGTCAGACCAAATTATTGGTTCCTATAATCCATCCCACTGTATCCCAAAGTGTTGCAACAACCAAGAAGTGGATCCTCTGATTAGAGGAGAGAAGGAAAGTGTCATCAGGAAGCTGTTTTAATGATGGGAAAGGGCCCTTTTTTGGACGATCCATAGCTAGTTTTAAATTGCAGAGAGGTTTTCCTGCTTGCTACCCGATCCCCACCCCCAATAATTGAAAATGAAGGGTAAATTCACGAAGACTCCTCTCTCCACTCTCTTCCTCCCTTTCACCCATCTAGATTGATATAAAGCAATCCATTACAAGTCTTCGTGTACCAGGATTTATCATCAGCATCTACGAGCATCATTTCTTCTTGAAATATAGGAAGACTTTTTTTTAACCTTTTAAAAAGGGCATGAGGTTTCTCTTGTGATGCCTCAACTCATTGTGGCTTTGGTCACAGTATACCCTGTAAACAGTAGTTACCTGGCTCCTCTCACCATTTCTACTCCTTACTAGATTATTAATTGTTGTTGAACAGGAGCTTTGTCTTATGTATCTTTCTGTCTTTATAAGCACAGTACCTGGCTCAAAGTTAAACTCATTAAAAGCATACTGAATTGAGAGGCTGTTAAGACTTGTTCTCTTCCATCATGGTCTAACGAGGGAGGGGTAGAAACTTTGAGTAGTGACATTGGAAAGAGAAAAAGACAGATCAGCCTTCTGGAACCAAGAGAGAAGGTAACAAGGGCCTTTAAGGGACTAAAATACTCCCAAGTACTAGCACTGGCAGGAAATCCCTTACTCAGAGTACAGAATCCCTACCCTGGGGCCCCAGGAACTCACTCCCAGCCCTCACTTCACTGGAATCCCTGGTCTAGCTCAGGCCACTAAGTAAGATCCCAGAGAGTATGAAAAGGAATAAGGAAATCTCACCTTGAATTGTAATAATCCACATGTGTCAAGGGCGGGACCAGGTAGAGGTAATTGGATCATGGGGATAGTTTCCCCCATTCTGTTCTTGTGAAAATGAGTGAGTCTCAGGAGATCTGATGGTTTTATAAGCATCTGACATTTTCTCCTGCTTGCACTCATTCTGTCTCCTGCCACCCTGTGAAGAGGTGCCTTCTGCCATGATTATACATTTCCTGAGGCCTCCTGAGCCATGCGGAACTGTGAGTCAATTAAACCTCTTTTCTTTATATATTACCCATTCTCAGGTATTTCTTCATAGCAGTGGAAGAACAGACTAATACAGCAAGTAAGAGGGCATATTTTCTTTCTTTCTTTTCTTTTTTTTTAATTTGAGACAGAGTCTCGCCCTGTAGCCCAGGGTGGAGTGCAGTGGTGTGATCTTGGCTCACTGCAACCTCTGCCTCCCAGGTTCAAGCGATTCTCCTGCTTCAGCCTCCCGAGTAGCTGGGACCACAGGTGCCCACCACCACGCCTGGCTAATTTTTGTATTTTTAAGTAGACACAGGGTTTTGCCATGTTGGCCAGGCTGGTCTCTCTCAAACTTCTGACTTCAGGTGATTCACCTGCCTCAGCCTCCCAAAGTGCTAGGATTACAGGCATGAACCACTGCACCTGGCCATTTACTTATTTTTAATAAATATATTTTAAAAAGTACTTTTGTTCACTTGTGACTGTAAGGCCCTAGACTCTTCCAACTGAGAATTTTGTTACCTTAGTGGTTTTTTTCAAAAATGTAATATCCAGGCAGGGGAGGGGGAATTTTGTTACCTTAGTGGTTTTTTTCAAAAATGTAATATCCAGGCAGGGGAGGGGCTATTATACACCATGAGTTAAGTACTTTAAACGTTTGCTAACTGCCCTGAGATCCTTGCTATCTTGTATAGCTTCTGCAGGAAAATGTCTGCTCAGTTTTGCCAAACCAATTTTTTTTTTAATTGAGACGGAGTCTTGCTCTGTCGCCCAGGCTGGAATGCAGTGGCTTGATCTTGGCTTACTGCAACCTCTGCTGCCCAAATTCAGGTGATTCTCCTGCCTCAGTCTCCTGAGGTATCCGCCACCATGCCAGGCTAATTTTTGTATTTTTAGTAGAGACGGGGATTTTGCCGTGTTGGCCAAGCTGGTCTCGAACTGCTGACCTCTGGTGATGCACCTGCCTCGGCCTCCCAAAGTGCTGGGATGACAGGCATGAGTCACCATGCCCAGCGCCAAACCAACTTATAATTAAACTTTTGGGATGCAATTCATGGGTGATTTGGAAAATGCTAATATTCCTAAGTTTAGTTTCCTATTACTTAGACTACATTCCTGTTGACAACCAGAGAATGGAAATGGAGTTTTGCCGTATGACATCTTTTAACAAATACATTCCAATTGTATTATAATGTGGCATGTTACTACACAGATTAAGAAATACCTACAATGAAACCATGCCTCTAAAGTCCTAAGTGCTCCTAAATCCATACATACTTGTATGTGTTTTCCTCTATTTGAAACAGCTAGCTTCCTTCCTTCCTTCCTTCCTTTTTTTTTTTCCAGGGTCTTGCTCTGTCACGCAGGCTGGAGCGCAGTGGCACAATCACAGCTCACTACAGCCTCAACTTCCTGAGCTCAACCAGTCCTCCCACCTCAACCTCCTGAGTGGCTAGGCGCACACCGCCACACCCAGCTAATTTTTTGTTT